CAATGATTGCAAGTGGCATTGAATGAGCCTCCTCCATCTGAAAGATAGTGGGAGTTCCACATCAGCAACCATGCATATTGCAAGAAAACCTTCTTATGCAACTAATTAATAACAGGAAATGTGGATTTGATAGATTATTTCTACCTTAAAAATTACTGAACTTTGGCGCAAATAATTTTGGGACACCCTGTATAGACTATAGGCACCAAATATATGAATATAATATATAATATATATTATTCATATATATTATATATTATATGTGAATACTTATATATATATGAATCGTCTTCCGAGAAAGAAGTCCAAATCATGAGGGTTCGAGAGTGTTGTCATTGATTCTCAAGTTTTCTGGTGTACTCTGTCTTTTGCAAGAGCCGAATCCATAAGAAGATCATTCAAGCTCCATATTCTCACGCCCATGTTTTTCGTCAGTGATTATATTATGAGTTTCAGTCGATTGGCCATTCTGTTGGTTACGGTCCTTCAACATCATAACGCGGATAACCTGACGCAACGAATTGTGGTGTTCTTACTGAATTCAATGGCATGCCATGTTGAAGGCGATCAGAAGGTGCAAGTCGGCAGTTTCGGAGCGATCGAGGTGACTTTGTCCGTTCTTCTTATTTGAATTAAGCACGCATGATTAGTACATTGCACCCGATCCTACTTGGTCAATACCCACTTTAGTATGTCTCCCGATTCTCAGTATTGGCTTATACCACAAGAGTTTTTTGTGTAATGCGGATTTTCAATATCTGATCTTCTCTATTACAATATTCGGACATAATCGTTCTCGATTTTGCAGATGATTCTGGATCAAATTCGAAGAAAGCTGGCAACGAATATGTGTGACGACGTGATGGAAGTTGGATGGAGCTTTTTGTGGAATATTACAGGTTTTTGTCATCTACTTTCTGCACAGGGCACTTCTTTTTTTGTACCCTTCAATTGTTGTACCATGATCTTGTCTTAAATTTGTGTACAATTCAGACGAAACTCCGGTGAACTGTGAACGTTTCCTGAAAGCGGACGGCCTGCTGCTTTTCCATAAATGTTTCGATGCCTTCCGAAATGAAAGGTCAGTATGCCTCTTTTCTCATTCACGCATTTTACACTGATTCATTTTCATCCATCCAGTAATCAGCGTTTTACATTTTAGTTTGATTAGGTCATGTGTCTTTGACGAGATTCGATGGTTCCAGGCTCGGATTCCTTACCTTAAGAATAATTTAATTGGAAAGTGCAAGATTAGCCATGGTGACATGGGTTACGAATAACTAAATTGCGCATATAGCATTTTTCTCAAAGCAAAGTATTCAAAAACGCCTAAGCCGCGTTGTACTATTTTTTCCTTTTTTTTTTTTTTTGGAACTAGCTTCAGTGTTAGTTTTTACTGTGAATTTGTGCGGACAAAGGCATTCCTCGGTTCCACATCTCCCCTTTGAGGTACTAGTTTCGTAAGTTCATTCGTTTCCATTAAGTTTAGATCTAGTTTGCGAAGTGTGCTTTCTTTTTTCTTGACTTTCTTCTAAGCAGCAATCAGATCGCTTTATGCTGCTCTTCCTGTTTTCAGAAACATCAAATGTGGGGCGATTAGAAGAGTAACCAGTTTGTTTCAGAGAATTAGTTCGCAATATGATGGGCCTGATTGGAAATATCGCTGAAGTCGATGGTTTACGGTCACAACTGATGAACGACGATTATGTGAAAATATTCTCGTGAGTTCTACTTTTATCCCTTTCATTGGATGAACTTGTTCTATGCATTTTTTTGCAGAGCTTTACTGGATTTGGTCGAAGACTCCATTGAAATCAGTTATAATAGCGCTGGTGTCCTTGCGCATATGGTCAGTGACGGTGAGGAGGCTTGGAGCGGATTGACAGTACGTAGGGAACAAGTAATGGCAAGTGTCGTCAAGGTGAGGATGAATCGACTCTGTGCTCAAGCTCACACTTTGTTCTCTAGATTTTGGTCTCTTATCGAAGCTCTGTCGACAAAAAACCGTCACGTGAACTTATGCTTGACTGAGTGGCTGACGGCCTTTACAGTCTCGTTACGCGTCACATTCATTTACGCAATTACAGCGCACATTGGAGTACAGAAAGGGGTTACACGATTCACTTGACGTCCAGTCACCTATCGTGGATGTGCCATGCTCCAAAGTTGTTACAGAATGTCTTTGAATTTTTTGAATTGAGCACTTTCTTGGATTACACAATTGCTATTAGAAGGCCTTGTAGTTGTTCGTTATTAAGTTAAGAAAGAACGCGTAATATGCATATAGAATATGCGGGAAAAGGCCAGCTTCATCTTTTTGCGGAACGTGCCAAAAATATTCATTCAAATAGAAAGTTCAGTATGAGGAAGAACACGTTTTCCTCTCATACTACACCGTCAGTCTGGTGCACGCTGAGGTGATCCTGTGAAGTTTTCTAATGAGCGGCTTGAGAAACAAAGTTGTACCCAGCGGCCAGCTCTGAAACCCTAAACTGGTCGATGTTATGGTGGCTTTTGCTTATCTTCCTAGTCATTGAGAGGCCAGTTGCACAACGTTCTTGATACTGGCTCTCCTGTACCTTCGTCTCAGTGTGAACAGTATCCCCTGCTTCTAAGTGTGGGGCTTTCTACGCAGCTTTCTGGCCATTAACGAGTTGCAGAATGTGGGTGCATGCTCATTGAGGGTACAGAGTCCGAAATCAGGAATAGAATAGTTATGTAGATATGTGGAGATATATAATTATGTAGAGATACAAAAAAATATTTCAGGCCACAGAAGCATGGCGCCTCGATACAAGGCGATTCATAAACTACCGTTCATTCCGTCCAATTCTCCGGCTGCTCCCTCTATGGCATGCATACGCTAGCCAACATTGGGCTGTTTGGGCACTGGCTAATCTCACTACGACAGATGGTGCGAAGTGAGTGAAATCTTTTGTTGTGCAGCCTTTTTATAGTGAACTAAGATTCGTCGGTGGTTACTACTTCAATCAGTCTTTTTTATAGTTTTGTTGCTGTCTTTGAAAATTGGTGGATGGTAATAAAGTAATTCGACAGAGGAATGCTAAAAGTTAAATTCATGATTTGCAATGATGAAGACGAGAAAATTTTTATTTAGCAAGTCTTGCACCACGATTTCAAGCATTGTTGGAGTTTTGTCATCACATTTTCCATTTTGGGAGGCGTTCACGAATTGGGTTGAGCCTCGGGATCATAGTGGCGTTTAAATGGATATTTTGTTTACACAGTAACCTAATTTCCTTTTTACAGTAGTTTGATACCCACCAATGGCTACACATTATGGAAACCTTGATTAGTCAGACCATTGGTTCTTATGAGATGATTCTTGTTAAAGATATGGTCCCTTACTTTTGCGCTTAATATCTACGCCACTTGACTTCGTTTTTACGCCACAAACACTTGGTAAGAAGATATTGTTTTGCCGATTTCATATTCAGTACTATGAAAGGGTCAATATGTGCTTGCACGGTGCAGTTAATAATTTTTAAAAATTTTGTTTTGTTTCCTTTACGTTTTCAACAATACTGTCAAGAAAAGAAGCCTTGTATAAGATTTCTGGTTTCTTTCAGGTATTGTGCCTACGTGACAGATGAGGGTGGCATTCCATTGTTACAAGAACTTGTGACCGATCCTCGTACAACGGAACCTGTTCGTTGCCTAGCAAAGATGGTACTCGATAATATTGAGAGTTGGTGAGTATCCTGACAGTTCTTCACTTTACCTTTTAGTGTTACACTTTGTTTTCTCCTTTCAATCTGTTTGCTTTGTTTCTTGCGAAATGCAAAATGCAAAAAAGTGAAATATAGAAGACATGAGAAATTCCATAAGATTCACACCCTGGTATACGAACTTGGGGTTGTATTGGTTTCCTGCATTCTTTTTGTTGTTCTCTGAACAAACAAAACAGATGCGATACGTATTTGATTTTTACAAGATTTTTTTTGAACAGCTTGTTTGTTTTTTGCAGTATCACCTCTCGCGCGAGTTTGATACAAGTCATCCGACAGGTACAACCATCCCATTTCTAGGAGATTAGAGGCCTCATTGGTTTGAGCAGATCTCAATTCGAACTTGATTTTATATCATAGGTATGATCAAAAGGCTGGCCACCGTTTCGACTGCACTCAGTTCCATGAAGAGTGTGAGGTGACTGGATATTGGCTTTGACTAGACCCTTTCTGTGAAGATCTCGCGATTGTCAAGGTTAAGTTTTTTCAATGTGGTCGAAGGAACCATCTCGTACATTATAGTGGTCTTCTGTCTCTTGGGTTGCCAAGTAAGTTTTGTAGTCGTTTACTTTCGCCACCCGAATAGTATAGAGATATGAGGGAAGTAGGAATTAGTGGAATCAAATTGTTTATGAATCTACTAATTGCACAGACACCACAGAGAGTCTAGGCATATCAGACGCCAATCAGTGTCCCTTGATATAGTTTGGTAAGAAAGAAAACAAGCTCATAAGCCAAGGACACTCAAAAGGGAACTGAGAAAACCGTTTATTGCTTGCCGATCATACGAATGATTAAGGATTCATCGAGAGATCATTTATAACTACACGTCTCGCTTGTGAATGTACTAAAAATGAACTCGGATCTGAAAGAAATACGACGGCTAGGCCGGATTTTTAAAGAACAGCTTGATTTTTTAGTATCCGACGGTTCCATATGGAGTAGAACTGGAATACCACGCTTTCATCTTCAGCTTTCGAATAATTCCTACTCAATCTCTTTTTTTTTTTGTAAAGATCCTGTTTGCATCTGCCGCAATTTGGGAGCTTTTTTTGTACTCAGCTAAAAAGGTAGAAGTGTCGACACCAAGAGTACTCCAAATTAATTATCGTATGTGCGCCCATGAAAGTCAATTTTGGTGTGGAGTTCGGTGAACGGAGCGCAAACAGGATGCATAGGTTGTGTCTGGGTTGGTCATTTGACGTTTTTATAACTTAACACCCATTGATAGCATTGCGATCAACCGCCGAACCCTAACATATATTTGAAAAGTCCCTAAATGTGTGGGTGGACAGAACCCACGGGCTACTATATTGCGTAGATTTCGTTGTTCGTTGTCTCACCGGAACCAGGTCAGTTGCACGTAGTTACTGATTGGTGAAAATTTATTCCTTTATTTTTGAATCTTTGGCTCAGAATTCCGCCAATCAGTTTGGAACGAGCGCTTTCGTTGAAATGCCGGAAATTGCTGGAACAGCTGCTGTTGAACGACAGGGTGCCTAACGCCCTGCCGCTCGGTAGGGCCGATTAGGCAAATTTTCGCGTTTGCTCCCTTTCAAGATGTGATCGTGCTTTCGCTCTCATAAGAAGGCTGCCATTCGTAAGGCGCTCATTCTTTCAAATCTTGGGCTGATAAAGAGCGCTACTCTACCTATGAAAAACAAAACTATGAAGTATCACTGTGAGCCGTGTTTGAACGGTAGCAGTTTTATCAAATTGAGTTTATAAATGTTTGAACTGCTTTCATGAATAATTTCAGCGTGTTCAATATTATTTTTAAACTTTCATTTGCCACTCATGCCACCAACTGTTATAATAAGTTGGAACTGATTTGGACCCAAAAGTGGAAGGTTTCCAATCGACTTAATTTCTTAGTATTTTGTTGTTTTGTTAGTTGCTGTTCTTCCTTCGCAGTAAGAGATCCGAGAGATTCAAAAGGTTGGCGAGTTGTAGGTAAGGGATACAGAACACAGTGACCGGCTAGCGCAGATACGGGTTCATGTCCCCACCTAAACAAAAGCCAAATCTTTTGGGGTATTGGGACCGTTTTGGTACAGTTGGCAAGCCAGATGAACGGTGTTTTGGGTAATGGAGTTTCGCCTTTACATATTGTGTTCCTCATTCCGTCTTTCCAAGACTTCCACGTGCGGCAAGGGGGCAAAAGAGGGTTCGCCAGGATATCAAAAAGCAAAAATTTGTTACTACACATTCACTGATTTTTCTAGCTGTTGTGGTTCCAAGTCTGTGCGAAAGACAATTAGCTCATCGCTTCTTTCTGTTCTATTACTGTGATAACAATTTGAATAAATCATAGGAATTTTCAGGCGAACTCTCTCGGAGAGAGAGCGCATGGGTGACAGTGATTTGATGGTGGACAGCATGGAATTAATGGATACGTCATAGGAATCTTGTGGTGTTTCTGCAATCAGTGGGAGAAGCCTCTCCGTCTGTTCGACGCCTTCCCGGGATGCGCTCTCGGTCTGAGGGGCGTCGCGGGAGCTTCTCATTTTGCTTTCTATGCCTATTCTCTTCATCTACATACTTCTCTATAGCTATCAGAGTGTGTGAGTGCAAGCCGAGTTCAATAGCATCATTGCAATCTTTCACATCCGGTTGGTTAACAACTTTTGACCCAGGGGTTGCTGACCCATAGAGTGACCCAGGTCAGCTGTTCACAATTGGCCATGGCTCGAATTCGCTTTACGCAACTATGCGTGAGTTATATTATTATTTTCCTCTCTTGTTTATGTTCCTTCTTAAATTCAGCTATATATGGTGTAAAATCGGGTCAATAAATTATCCACCAATGATTCCATTTCTATCTATCTACTGTCTTGCTTTCCTACCCCGTGGACCTGATTTTTTCTCATTTTTAAAGATTCCAACTATCCGTTCCATACGTCTCTNACTGTACGTCTCTTTTGGTTCACATCTACAGGTCTAACCTTCTTTATGTATGTGTGTTGTCTACTATCTTCAAAACTTACTTAATGCGTACCCATAGACAACGCCTATATGGTAATAATTTCTCCACAAAAGGCGATATTTTCATTGTCGATTTTATCTACCACTACTGGCCCTGACCCTTAGATATAATTTTTAATAAGGTTTGTTTAATAGGGTGCCGGAAGTGGCAGTACAACAGTGTCCCCAAATGGTCTTTCCATCGAATTTCTATTCTCACAGTATACATTACTGATTGGTCACCATCGGTCCATTGGTGTATTGATTCATAGGACTAGGTCCTGTTAATAAAATCCTTCAGATTTCTATTCATTTAGTTTGTCCGTGCGGTCTTCAGTGGGGCTCCTTGTTCCTCTCCTCCTTCCACCTCTTCGAACGGGAGTGATATAGCCACCAACAACAAAAGTTCTAGTCTAAAACTTTCATCATCGAGCCCTTCAAGACCTCCTCAAGTTGCGATCAGTCAGGTCCCCCAATGATCCTGGCGCCAGCGATTTGACCCACGCGATCAAAGCCTATAATTGCGAATGTGAGTGAGCGTGTATGTATGTGTGTTGGTTGGTCGGTCTTCTTCCGTTCGTCTCTCTATAAATTTGTGTGATTCTTATCGATCTATCCGCCATCCGTACCAATGCTGTTGTGCTTCTGATGTTTATTTGTTTGTTTGCTGAATGTAAATATTCGTAGTGATGTTTCTTCTTACTTAGAATATATATTTTGTCTTGTGTAACTAGTTGAAATTGTACAGTATTGTCTTCATAGCTATTCTTAGTGGCGTTTTTATCTTTAAGCGCTATTTCATGATGTAATATTTGGTTCGAATTTTCCTGGGTGGTTCTTTATTTTTTATTTGTGAGCGCAAGCTTGTGTATGTGTGGGTGGGAGCGTGTGTATAGCACAATTAATCATTTCTATTTGTCTTGTTTTGCTTTCATGAGAGAGGTAATGTCGCCCGAAATAAATGTGTTCAGTTGCTGATGGGTATTTGTTTCTTGAAGGCACGGTTGACGGTGTTTTTGGGGTGTCTATTTTTGGAAGACAAATACAGGTGATAGTTCGGAATACTGCGAAAGGGCTAAGTGAAAGCAAAAATCGGTGTACTAAGAAAAATATAAGGCTTCAGTAAAATTAGGAATCGTGCGAGCTGCATGGAAGGGGTATTTTACAAGCTGTCCGGATGTGAGTGCCGTTGTGCACAACTGGCTACATTAAACTGCGTGCGTGCAACGTGTGCGTCCTGATGGGAATGGTGCAACCTCTACGACACCGTGGAAACTCGTCCGCTTTTGGGTGTGCACGTTGGCTAGGCCGGTTTCGGGACCCTAATTCCACCCTGTCGAGGCCGTTTTTCGGCCCGACTTTCCGCTGTGCTATCCTCGAGGGTCGCAGGTTCATACCCAAAGGAAAATTCAGTACATTCAAGTTCATTTTTGTCGTGAACTGACTGTGCCTTTGGAGTGGAGCCAATGACTAGGAAAGCGTTTTTGAGCTCGTACGCCTTGTACATTAGAATGGAGCCATGGCTAGCTATCCAACCTTTTACCTTCAGTCTGTTCTGGACTGAAATGAAGGTAGCAGGTTTGTTTTGGGGAACTACATAAGTATTAGTCGCTCTACATGACTGGAAGTCGTTTATCTCGCTCATTCTGGGAAGTCTATGAGCCTTTCTGTCCTGTACTGAAGAATAAGCGTCTTTCTCGAGCGGTTCGAGCAGTAACAGTAGCAACCAGCAGCAGTTCATAATAGAGAAGAAGCTGCCTTCCAAACAATTTGGGAAAATTCGTGAGTTCTAAAACAAGGGCATTTCTAGACCAGGTAACTGCACTACGTGGCTTCGATCACCCCCTTTCCTACTCTTATCCGCCGCCTCACATTTGTCAGCAAGCAAGAACCGCCAAATTGGACTGGTTCTAATGTGTATTACGATATCTCGGACAAGTTTTTCTGAAGATCTATTTGTTATTAGCTAGCAACCGGGCGAGCACGATTTGGTGGAGTGACAAACGTAGAGTTTTGATAGTACTGTGTTCAAAAGGAATACCTGAAAATAAGACTCATCTTGAAACCTCTAACCCATGATATGACATTTATTGCTTCGAATGGGAACGGTTTTACAGATCAGATTCTTAGTCTTACGAAAGGAAGATTACGAGGCGTGCCAAAGGGTAGAGTATCGAGGACTTCTGAGCGTTTCTGTTATTCGCCATGCATTAGACTGACGTTCGGAATCGTGGTAGTGTTTGATATGTTTTCGGATCAGGCAATGATTTGCCGGGTCATTCAATGGCAGTCACATTCGAGGTATTTCTCAATGAGGGGCGACTCGGCTCATCCAAAAGGGCTTCCATTTACAGTCTTTGCATAAGCTTGCAGTTCCTCTTCCATGTACTGAAGCTCTTGCAGATAGCTGTTTAGTTAGAGATAGGTATCATGGTTGATAAGAGTCTCAAAGTGATGGAAGTGTATCGAGTTAGTTTTGAGCCGTTGGATGAAATTGATCTCAAAAAATTCCTGCACGCGTGCAAGGTCTCATGCTTGCTGACCGGTCTGCCTTGCCACTTAGGGGTTTCCATTATATCCTTACTATTAAAAATGGCGGAGGAAGGCGAACCTCTCGGTTCCCCTGATCTTCATCACAGCTTGTGTCTACCTATTTCACTTCGAAGAGCATAAGTTATATCTTGGCAGTCTAAAGAAAACCGCCTGGTTCCTTCAGATTTATAAGACTGCTCATGTCCCAGCTAGATAATTGAATACACTTGCTGCCCGAATCATCCCTGTTCAGAGGAGAGAAATAGCAGGGAGCGGGTTCTGTGAGGCTTGATAGGTGTCTGGCTGGCTCCTGTCTCTTTCCTTGATAGTCATTTGAGGGGTAAATTGAAAGCGGACAAGTGGAATGTAATTATCTGCCTTGCTGCATAGGTGTAGGTGTTTATCGTTTCATTTGTCTCACTTCAATTGGTGTGACCTGGAACTGGCTGAAATTAGCGAGGAAGGATAGGCACTGCTAGTTCATATTGCTGTGCCTATATAAAGGCCGACTACTGAAATCCAACCAATTCACAAAAAAAATTTGGTTTTTCCCATCACATGAAATTTGTCTTCTCAGAGCGTCCCTCAAGCCAAATGAGCAAGGGTAGTGTGAGCTCCCGAAGTTACTGGGTAGCTAGATTCACCAGGGCCTGGAAATCCCCATCAGTTCGGTACATTAGCTTGGCTTGTCAGAAATTACAGATGCAAGTCGTGGAAATAAAAAATGCCAACAAGACCTTGGCTAAGCGCTATCGCTAAGCGGTCAACTGTGCTTGAAGGACAACTAGTTTCCCCACATTCAAGCAACTATCCATCTGAGTAGTCCGATCCAGAAGAATTTTGTGGGTGATATTGGCAAAGTTGTTCTGCTTCACTGTTCTCTTCCACAGTAATCTTTGGCCCGTTCTATTTCTATTTGCCTATTAATGCCAGGCTGTTGAAAACCTGTTCTATTTAAAGGCCCAAAAGCGTAAAGGAACAGTAGTAAGCTGCATTTTTTCGTTTGGCTGGGGTAGGCTATGCACAGGACCTTCTACGAAATTCATGGAAATGATAGAAACTGTATCGCGATTGCCCTGTTCTGTGAGTGGAGGTTCCAACAAAACCAGTTCGGTGAAAAAGCGTTTTTTTAACATGATGTAGTAGTCCGAAGCTGGAACTGAGCTCGCGTGTACGAAGATTCAGGGAAGGCTTCTGAGCCTTATGCTGGATCGCAGTCTTCAACCCTTGTGGGAAGGCAAATTGGGGGAAGGCGAAAAAAAAGTGACAGGAAGACTTTTCGAAAATGGACTGATTTTCTTCCACTTTCTGCCTGCGGAGGTAGCCAGGAACTCACTTCCTCGACCACTTGGGCTTATTTGATGACTACATTTGCTGAACCCAGAAGCAGCTTTCACTTTTGTGAAAGATCAGGAAGCCACATTATCTCGGATTATAGAAACCCCTGGAAGCCCTCGGGGGAGAATTGAATTGAGGAATACAAATATCGTATCATTTGGGTGAAACGTCATCCTGTTCTTTTGAAAGGATGTGATGCATTCATGGAATGCAGCGAATATGATAACTATTACGATCGAAATGCTACCAGAATTTGTTTATTATTATTAATTAGTTGATTGACTGATGAATCGATTTATTTCTATTATTTTTAATTTATAATAATTCATCCAATCAGTGGCAGATAAGCCTAGAAAAAACATTACTCTCAGACAAGAACGAATAATCGAAGGGACTAAAAACCGAGTTTCTAGCTGTCGAAGGCGCAGTTGACCATTAAAATGGTTTGAAATTTTCTACTCCTCGCAAGCTGTGATCCCTAACACGTCTGAGTGTTATGAGGGCTCCGAACCCGCTTGTCGTAGTACACTCCTAAAAGTGGCCGTATTATGGCGGCCTTGTTAAGGCCA